CTGAGGGATGAAGAAGGCAGGCTGAGTGATGCTTGGGAGAGGGAGACAAGCTTAACTGGAGCCCTGGGGAAGGTCTGCGGGCTCTGAAGGGGGCTGTGGATGAGAGGTAGAAGAAGGGAGGGACACAGGAGCAGGGGAGGACACGGAGCAGGTGCCGGTGGGGCAGGGCAGGGACTGTGACTTTGAGGGTGTCATGTTGCACGTGCTGGGGGTGAGGACCCCGAGACTGGAGGAGCAGGGCTTCAGGGCAGGCAGGACAGCCCGGCCCACAGCAGAGGGGAGGGACACAGTGTGCTGTCTGCAGGTTGGCAGGAGAGGAGGAGAGTGTGAGCGGGGAAGCCCTGGAGACTGGAAGAGGTGAGGGGGCCCGGTGAGGGAGGGGCTTTTGTTAGAACCTGGGGGTGGGAAGGGGCCAAGGTGAGTGCCGTCCACCCCGGGCTGTCCCTTGGGCCTGTACTGTGCCCCATGGTGCAGGCATCACCCAGCCCCACAAGACAGCAGCTCACAGGTGCCACCACCCATTCTGCCTGGCATGGTGAGGGCCTGCCTGTGCTGGCTTAAACCAGTTGAAGAGATAGGCATTAATAGCCCCATTTTACAGATTAGGGAATCAAGGCTGAGTGTCTGCTAAAGTGAGGTCACTTGACCAGGGGACATTGGCCCTGGAGCTGGAAATGAAACCAGGGAAGCCCTGGGTCCCCAGGGCACTGTCTTGCCTCTGGAGACCGCCAGGGTGTCTTGGCCAGGGCAGGGAGTGTGATTCAGTCTCAGAGCTTGTCCTGGAGTCATCTCCCAGGCTCAGCATCTCCACCTGGAGCCTGGCCCCGGGACCACTCCCTAATTTTAGGGGCCCAGCATGAAATGAGCATAAGCAGCCGCTTACTCAAAAGGGAAGAGTTTCAAGACAGTGACTGCAGAGCGTGACTGGGCGCGGGGCCCTGAGTGACTGCAGGGGTTGCATGTCTTGTAGCACTGGGTGGGCTTGTGGCGCCTGCTGCCTCTAGCCTGGGGGCCTCCACCTGGGCACTGCCCTCAGCTTCCTGCCCAGGCCGAAGGCTGCGTGCACCTCTCTCTCTGGGACTGAGACTCTGTTTTAGACCGCTTTGTTTCAGGTTTGCTGAGGTTTCTCCTTCCTTTCTGTGCCCTGTTTGAGCAGTTCTGATACTGACTTCTGCAGTTTGGTCTGAGATGGGCCCTGCTTCACCCTGCATTGCCCTTTGGAGACACAAACTTCAGCCTAGACTTTCTGGCTCCTCAAGGCTCACTGCTCAGACGGCCACTGAGCGGTGTCCCTAAGAGGAAGGGGCATGGAGCTGGCCGGGGCCTGGGCAGTGTTGGGTCCCATGGCTGTGGGTGAGGTGAGCATCTAGGACAGCTCTTAGGCCTCTGTGCAGGTGGCGGGTGGGCCTGCATGGCCCCGGGGAGCGCCCGTGGTGGCAGCGCCGTGGCCAAGTGGTCGCAGTTTCTTTTGCATTAGCGCCACTCCATCCCCGGCCTGAGCCCTCTCCCAGACCTCTGGCTCCTCTGTGGGCCAAGGCTACCTAGTGTTTAGGGGCAGGGGTGCTGTCATTGTAGCCTGGACTGCGAGCAAGCCACTTCCCTCCGCAAAACCCCAACAGAGGGGCGAAACACTGCTTTGTGGGCTGCTGTGAATTCAGACTGGGGTCAGCCTTCCGTGCATAGGTCAGACCATTACCAAAGAGATGGGAAGTGACAGGCTGCTGCCTGCCTCCCCGGGCTGAGCTCCCCACTGTGTTTCCTCTGCTTAGCCCTGGGCTCCCGGCCCATCCCACCCAGCCTGCCCCTTACCTCTAGCTGCTGGTCCAGGAGGAAGGGGCAGGGCTCTGCGGGTGGCAGGTGATCTCTCTCCGTGGGTGGCGGTGGTGGCAGGGGGCTCTGTGCCTCTGTGGGTGGAAGGCTGGCTATTTAAGGAGAGGAAGGGAGACCACAGTCCTTCTGGCCCTGAAAGGCTGCTTCATTCCTGAGGGATCCCTTGTGTGGCGGGCGGCTCCTCTGGCTGCCGCTGCTGCCACTGAAGCGTGAATATTCCAGTGTGTCCCCAGCCTGTGCCCCCCGCCCCCCACTTGGCCACAGAGGCTGAGTGTGCGACTGTCTCGGAGCCTCGGAGCAGGCGGGGGCTGGGTGGGGGGCTTGGGCTGGAGCTGACGGACACAACAGGACGTTTCAGAAGGGGATGATTTCCTACTGATGGGGGCAGGGAGGGGCCGGCTGCCATGGCAACAGGCCGCACTCCCAGGCCTGTGCCCACAGACAGCCTGTGAACGGAGGGTGGGAGGCCGAGGAGTCTTACTCACCGAGTGAGAGACGACTCTTTGAGGACACTTGCTGTAGGGTCCTTGTGTCCTGCCCTGTATAATGAGGCCCCATTTGGGCGCGCAGAATAAATCATGGCCTTTATCTGGAGCAAGGCACAGCTGCAGGAGCCTCATAATGGGGCGCTGTCCTCCCCATGGGGACGGGACTCAGCTCGGGGGCCGGGCCCTGACGCTGCAGCTCCTCCTTTGCACGGGACCCCGGTGAATCCGAATCTGACCACTGGCCCTGGGGCTCCTCCCTGGGGTGGCTCTGGGCTGGAGGGCCTGTGAGTGCTGCTGGTGGCCGCCTCTGAGACTGAGGGAACAAAGTTTTTCCCTTTCTAAAAATGATACATCCAGAGACATGGGAAACCAAATCACCCTTCCTGGTTTCAAGACTTTATCTTTTGTTGTTAAAACATTGAGAACTTTATGTATGTGACTAGCATTTAAGGAGTGCCTGCCTATCACACGAACTATTTTCCATTTGTCTCTTCACGTAACCCTTTGCAGCTGGGATTATTGCCCCATTTTACAGACAAGGAAACTGAGGCTCAGACAAGTGAAGAAACTCACCCATCAGCAAACAATAGGAAGCGACCGAGCCAGGATTTGAACCCAAGCACGTGTCACTCCAGGACTTAGGCTTCGTGTGCACGTTTATTGTGCTTTGTTTTTCTGTTGCATTTTGAATTAAAATTCTTCGATTCTATCCTAATTCAACCTGAAAAAGAATTCTGAAGGTCACCTTTAGATCTGGTGCTGTGATGGGTTCTGTTGAGAAGCTGTTTTCCATCTGGACTTCCTTCCAGAGAGACGGGCTTCCCAGTTTGTCTGGCCTGAGAGTCAGTTGGGTGTGCGGTGTCTGAGCTGGGGCGCAGGTCCCTTTCCTGTTGTGCCCTCGGGTGGCTGTCTGGAAGAATTGGCTCACACTGGCTGGAAAGGTGGCTGCTTGAAGCTAGCCACCCTGAGCGGGCATTTCTGGGCTCACAGACCTTCTGTTATGGGGGTGATCGCTGTCCATGGCTTCAAGGGCTTTGACCATGGCGATGGTTTTGAGGTGTTGAGCTGATTTCTATAGCTTTGAAACACAAGTAATTCCTCGTGGGTTGAGTATTGTCCTGACGCTCAGGAGGAATCACCAGAATATGGAGTGGGGTCATGGGCCTAAATGCCGAGTCTGGGACAGAGGAGCTGCAGGGAACGTGGGCTGGTTGTCATAGGCGCTAGGTGGGAAGCTCAGCCCCAGACCTGCTGAGGAGGTGGCCTAGGGCTGTGCCTGGAGCACAGGTGTCTGGGCAAGGGTGGGCTTCAGGAATCGTGGTGGTGCTTCCACAGGCCACAGGTGCTTCCCACTGCTGGGGTATAAAAGCTGGGGCCCTGGCCACCTGTTGAGGGACACGATGCCCATCGTTGCTCCCTTCCTCTCTTTGACAGTCATTTGCCCAGGCATTCAATCGACTGACCCTGAGCTGCTGCCCCATGCTGGGCACGTAGGGTCTCGGGGAGGCACAGAGAGCCAGTCAGCAGCTTAGCAAGTGGCGGCTGGGCCTTTGCCTGGGCCCCTTGCCCTGCACACAGCTGATGATGAGACACCCCAGGGCAGATGGAGCACAGTGCTGTGCAGGGTGGAGTCCAGACGCAGCAGTAGCAGACACGTGGGGTCCAGGGAGGGACACTGAATGGGTGGCCCTGACATCTGGGGTCTGCCCTCCATAACCTGGGTGAGCATCTTGGGTCTGAGACTAGATCTCTTCAGTATCCTCCCTGACTAGCCTGTCGGAGGGGCGGACACTGGGCATTGGAGGGCTGTGGAGGCTGATGGGGGGAGGAGAGGGCCCCTGGGGCTAGGGGGCCGGGAAGGGAGGCCTGGATGCAGCAGGAGCACCAGAGATAGATTTGGGGGGCAGGTGGGAATGGGGTCTGGGGTGTTGGCTTGGGGCCTTTGTGTGTCTTTGCCTGGGGACTCTGAGTCTAGATTCCCGCCACCTTTGAGGTCCAAGGAAACAGAATCCATGTTGATTTCTCTCTCAGCTGAGAACACAGCTGCTGTCCAGCACAGTGAGTAGCATCAGAAATTATTCTGAGGCCTTCACAAAAAGACTCTGTCATGACAGCTCCTGGGTTTGGGGCCTCCATCTGACATAGCGGTGCTTGTCTTTTGGACACAGAAAGCGCCTGCACGTGTTTGGGCCCTTCATCCAGCAAACCCCGAAGGAAGGGGGCAAGTGACCTCCTAGGCACTCCCTGGCCACCCTGCCGGGCACAGTGGCATTCACTGTAACTCGTGGTGTTAAATACATTTGGAAAATGAAACAATTTTTCAGCAGATATCCATTAAATGTCTGCTCTATTCTGCACTTAGAATAAGTCTAGGGAATGGTGCAGAATAGAGCAGACATTTAATAAGTGGAAAGAGGAAAAGTACCACCCAGAGACAGTGCAGGCTCGTGTTCTGGCGTCTTTCCTGCTGATCCTCTCCCCGAGCACAGGTCCCATCTCCAGGGTGCACCTGTGTCCTTCTGGGCCTTGTGACTGGGCAGCATGCTTTTCCAGACTCTGGATGAGCCCCTTTGAGGCCCCCAGCTGCTCAGCGGAGTTGCAGGGGTCCGGGCGCTCTTCTCCTGGAGGTGGCTGGGCTGTCTGGGAGTGGGGGTCTGCCCCTAATGCCCCTGCCTCCCACAGGCATCTCTGCCGGCCTTGCCACAACCGTGAGAAGGCCAAGGGCCTGGGCAAGTACATCTGCCAGCGGTGCCACCTGGTCATTGACGAGCAGCCCCTCATGTTCAGGAGTGACGCCTACCACCCCGACCACTTCAACTGCACCCACTGTGGGTAGGTGTGCGGGCCGGCCCTGCAGTGGGGGTGGGCGGGGCACCAGGGCTGAACCAGGGAAGGAGCGATGCATCCTCTATCCGGGGTAGGAGAGGTGAGCAGGGTGGGCAGAGAGAGGGGTCCTGAGAGTGGGGCTGCAGGGCGGAGGTGGGCTGGGGGCCATGAAGCGGCCCAGCAGGATGCTTCTCTCCCCAGGGCTCTGTGAGACTCAGGGGACGGGTGGCTAGGCCCCTAGACCACACGTGAGGGTTGAGCTGGAGCGGTGGAAGGGACCTGAGGGGTAGAGGGGGAGGGGAAGAGGCCGGCAGTGTGCTTGGTGCTGGTGTTAAGGAAGGAGTGGCACAGCCAGCTCCTCGGCCCCTCTTCGCCTACCCCCACCGTCCCCTCCAGTCCTCTCTGTGCCTATCCCAGACACCCAGTCTGGTTTGGAGGAGGAGGGGGGCCCGAGAACAGACCCGCTTCTCACAGGCCTGGGTGCAGAACACAGGCCGCTCTTCTGGGCTGTGCGGGAAGTCAGTGCTCCAGGGCCCGTCTGGGGCACAGGAAGCCTTCAAAGGACCTAGAGATCAGAGGGAGCAGCCGCCTTGCCTCTGCAGGGACAGAATGGCCCCTCGGGGAGCTGTGCCCCGGGCTGGAGGCGCTGGCATGACCCTGCAGAAGGGCAGGGACGGCACCTGGGGGCTGCACGTTGTCTTCCAGGAAGGAGCTGACGGCCGAGGCCCGAGAGCTGAAGGGTGAGCTCTACTGCCTGCCCTGCCATGACAAGATGGGCGTCCCCATCTGCGGGGCCTGCCGCCGGCCCATCGAGGGCCGTGTGGTCAACGCGCTGGGCAAGCAGTGGCACGTGGAGGTGAGCCAGGCTGGCAGGCACATGGCCTCAGGTTGGGGGGTTGCCCCACTCAGGGTCACAGTCAGAGCCCTGAAGCCCCTCCATACTCCCAGCCTAGGCCGCCTGGCTGGCTCCCGGTGAGGCCCTTCCTCTGGGGTACCGCCCCTCCCTGTGCTCAGCCAGGGATCCCAGCCTGCCCACAGAACCAGGAGACACCAGTGCACACACATGGTTGGGTAGCCGTGCCCACCTCTCCTCTTCCCCATGCTGGCATTCTAAGAGACTCCAAAGTCTGGAGAAAACCGTGGGAGCAGTCTGCCCAGGGCGCCTGGGGGGCTGTGGTTGACAGAACCTGCAGTGTGGACAGCCCTGTGCAGACACGGAGCTGGAGAGTTCCTCAGGTGTGCGCGCTGGGTCACCTGCAGTGTCCCCGCTGGGTGTGGACTCTCATGTTCTCATGGGTACACTGGGAACAGTGAGCCCACCACCTCCCCTGATGACCTGGCCAGCGCTGTGTCCAGAAGCTGTGCCTTGGGTGGCAGCGTGAGTGGGAAGCCATGCCATCCTGCCCTGATGCAGGCCCCAGTCCCCAGCCCCCAGCCCTCATCCCCACATGCAGATCCCTGGGGGAACACAAGTGCTGCGCACTCCCCAGGCCTGCAGGGGGTGCCTGCAGGAGGCCCCACATGGACAGGCAGGGCCGCCTCTGCCTTCTAGGGTCCACCATACTGCAGCACTGGGCCGGCACCTGACTCCTGGGGCTGAGGCTGCCAAGGGGGAGGCCAGACTGGGAGGGGATGGTGATGCGCAAGGTTATTGTCAGTGCTGTAGAGGACGGGCAGGGTCTGCTGAGCCCAGAGCATCCGCAGAGGTGTCAGCGCCCCCACAGTGAATCCCGAAAGGCCTCCACCCGCCCAGCCTCTGCTTCCTGTCCCCTCTGTCACTGCTGTCTCCTGGGGTCACTGCTGTCCCCTGGAGTCGCCATTGGCTCCTGGGGTCACTATTGTCCCCTGGGTCACCACCTGTCCCTCGGGGTCACCGCTCTAGCCCTGATGCCGCTGGCCGCCCTCTCCTCTCAGCACTTTGTCTGCGCCAAGTGTGAGAAGCCATTCCTGGGGCACCGGCACTATGAGAAGAAGGGCTTGGCCTACTGCGAGACCCACTACAACCAGGTGAGTTGGTGCAGAGCCTTTGGGTACGTGGGCTGGAGGGGTGGCCAGGAGGGAGGCTGCAGGCGGCCCCTCGGGAGCTCTGCCTGGTGCTGGGCCAGGGGCCGGTACCCTCAGCCCTGGCTCCTGGCCTGGGGTCTTGAGACTTGGGCAGCTCTCTCAGCCTCAGTATCTTCCTTTGAAGAATGTTCTGGGGTGGGTGTGAGGTCCTGGGCACGTGGGGCTGACAGCGCCAGCAAGCCCTTCCCTCCCTTGCTCTGGGACAGAAGGCAGGGGAGGCTGATGAGGTGAGGTCACCACCTGGGCTCACCTCCTCACTGGACAGCAGCAGCAGCCAGAGCAAAGGGGCCTTCTGGGGAGCAACGCCCCGCCTGATGTCCTTCCCAGGGGGTGGGAGTTGCTCTAATGGGCTGCAGTGCCCTCATCCCAGCCTGGCAGCAGGGCCCGGGAGATGCCTGAGAGGGGCTGTGTTGGAAGGCCAGGCTGGCGGCATGATGGCCCTGGCTGGGGTGTGACTGCCGGCAGCCGCTCTGACAACCTACTCCGCCCGCAGCTTTTCGGGGACGTCTGCTACCACTGCAGCCACGTGATCGAAGGCGATGGTGAGGCCTTGTGTTCCCTCCCCTCACCCCACCTGCTCTTCTGGGGCCTGGGTGCTGCAGCTGTGAGCCCAGCTGGGCAGCCTGGCCAGGCCTGCTGAGTCCCGCACTTTCCCCGCAGTGGTGTCAGCCCTCAACAAGGCCTGGTGTGTGAGCTGCTTCTCCTGCTCCACCTGCAACAGCAGGCTCACCCTGAAGTGAGTGCCTGTGATCGTGGGGTGGGGCTCAGGGTGGAGGGGCTCCCACGGGGCCTCCCTCTCAGCAGCGGTCCGGCACACCGGCTGCGTCCGACCTGGGGATACTGTGGGGACAAGGGGCAGCCCGGCCCCACAACACCCTGGAGATGGGGGCAGGTCCAGGGGATCTGGGGGGTCCAGGGACCCCAGGGCACAGTGAGAGGAGGGGGAACACTCGCTCCTCTAACACAGCTGCCAGAACCCTGGGCTCTGGGGAGGGAAGGGCTTTCCTGCCCGGGGAACAGCATATGCAAAGGCAGCAGCGCCAGCAGCGCATCCAGGAAGCCTCAAGGGGAGTGGGATGGCTGCAGCTGTGAGAGGAGAGACGGCGTCCGGGTTTCCAAGGGCAGTGGGGAGTCATAGACGGTTCTGGAGTGTCAGCACCGGGAGGGAAGGGAAGCCTCAAGACCCTTCTCATTCCTACGCTCTCCGGCCAGCTCAGCTTGGGGCCTGGCCTGCCAGCTGGGAGACGCAGCTGCGGGGAGGCTGGGGGCGGGGGAAAGCCGGCTCTTCTGCCTCCACGGTCACCTGTCTGGGGTTACAGTGGAGGGCGTGGGGCTCTGCTGACGGGCCGGCTTCCTCCCCAGGAACAAGTTTGTGGAGTTCGACATGAAGCCCGTGTGTAAGAGGTGCTACGAGAAGTTCCCGCTGGAGCTGAAGAAGCGGCTGAAGAAGCTGTCGGAGCTGACCTCGCGCAAGGCCCAGCCCAAGGCTGCGGACCTCAGCTCCGCCTGAAGACCCGGGTGCCCCTGCCTGGCTGTGCCTCGGCCCCTCCGCCTTCTCGCCTCCTGCTGCCCACGCGTGGCCCCTCGTCCCTGCCCACCTGCAGCCCTCCGCATCGCACCCTTCCCTTCGCCTCCTCCCTTCCTGTTCTCTCAGCTGTGCCGTCCCCAGTCTCGCCTCTCCTTGGCTGTGGCTTCTCTCTGTGAGGAGGCAGGAGCTGGGGACTGGGAGCCTGTGACGGGCTGGGCCACGTCTGACAGCCACGTCCGCCTGTGCCTACAGTTCCGCCCACAGACCTCCAGGGACAGAAGCAAATTGCATCACAGCTCCTGACCTGGCCCGGCCTGGCCCTGCCCAGGTGGCTCGGTAGCGTGTGCTGTCCTGCGTGAGCCTCTGCCCCAGAGCGGCCCCGCTAGGTACATGTGGCTCCTGGGCTACCCAAGGCCAGGGCAGCCTGCGGGAGCCACAGGGCCAGGGCCACGCAGATGGAGGCCTCTGGGAGCCATCCTCATCCCTCACCATTCACTCAACCAGTGGCACAGTGTCCCTGTGCCCACACCAAGCCAGCAAGTCCTCTGTCCACACCCACAAGCTACCTGGAGGGAGAGGACCCACCTCCAACCCTCAGAAGGGCTTCCTGGAATCCCACCTTGGCCACCCACCCTCCCTCTCCTTGGGACCTGTGTTGAGCCTTTGGGTGGGGCCAGGGGCCAGGAGGTGGTGGGGTCAGAGGTCACTTGTTCCCACCTCCAGGGAGGACACTTCGTCTGTGGCCAGTGCAGTGCTGGCGCAGGGCTCACGCTTACACAATGAAGGCTTGTTCACACAACCTCAGCAGCCTTCGTGGTTTGTGGCAGGGGTGGGAGGTGGAAGGGATGCCAGCAGCTCTGGACATACCACTGGTGGGGCTGCTGAACAGAGGGACAGACATCAGACAGGCAGGCACGAGTTCAGGGGGTCCTAGCCTCCATCCCAGGCCAGGCTGCCACCAAAGCTTGAAGACTGACCCAGCAGGCCTGGGTGGCCGGGTCCACATAAGCTGGCCCAATGGGCAGAGCAGGGAGTGGGCGGGGACAGGACGTGCCAGCGAGGTGGCAGAGTCCAGGCCTCGGAGGTGGTGTCCAGCTCTGCCCACTGTTGGGGCATAGGCTGGCCTTATCATGAAGCGGCAGCGAGAGAGTGGTACCTCTGCCCTGGCCTCCTGGGGTAGTGCGGCTGTCTCAGTGCCCGGGTACAGGACAGAAGGTGTGAGGAGGGCCCTGGGCGGAGGACTCTACCCTGAGTGCCCCTCCCCAGTCTGAGGAACAGGAAGGAAGGGAGGGAGGGGAGGAAGGGAGGAAGGAAACAGAATGAAGGGAGGATGAGGTCATTCCTGGAGAATGCAGCTGCCCTCGGGGTGCCCTGGGGAAGCCACACAGCATTTTGCTTTTTCTGCGGCTCTCTGAGGGCCAGCGCCTCCCGGGCCCCCTGTCCACCTGGTGCCCCACACTGCTCCCTCAGACACGCTCACTTCCTCTCTCCAGGGGTTTTTATTAAACATTCTGGTGGGGTGGGGGGGACCTCTCAGCCATCCACCAGCTGCCTGGGGGTCCAAGGATCCCGACCCCACTCTGAGCCGGTCTTTTGGCCTCCATGAGCAGTGTTTGAGACAGAGGGGACTGTCTGGGGGGGCGCGTGGGCTTTGTGTGGGGGACAGCATGGAAGGCTGCCTGCCGAGGACAGGCCCTGGGCTGAGGGGGCCTGGGAAGGTGCTGCCAGGAAGGCACCTGAGCGGACCCGCCAGCATCGCCGCTAGGTGCTGGCCAGGGCTGGGGCCTTGGAGCCTCTCTGCTTGTCCATGGCACTCAGGAGCCGCTGCACGTAGGAGGTCAGCAGGTCGTCCATTTTGTAGCCCTGGACAGGGGACAGGGTGGGTCAGAGGCTGTGGGTGCAGAGGGCAGGTGGGGGTCTTTGACTCAGGGACCACCTCTTCCTCAGCAACCAGCTGTGCAGGGCAAGGAGAGAGGGAAGGTGGGCTCCTGCCCCTCCCTCCCAGGACAGGCGCTGGGGCCGCCATTCCGGCCTGCCCTGCTGGGGCTGGGTCTCCCTCTCTCCTGGGAATGGGCCAAAGGTGTAGGGGGTCCCGCCTGGCCTTGCCACTTTGTCTGCTGGTCCTGGGGATGCACCCAGTCCCCCTCCAGGTGGTCTGGCCCTGGCTGGGCCCTGGGACCAAGCCCTCTTAGTGAGCCACTTGAAAAGGGTGGGGCGGGGAAGCCAGTCCCCAGCAGCTCTGTCCCGTGCATCTTGGCTGGGAGAAGGGACCTGGGCTCACCAGGGAGGTCTCGCACAGCAGGCGGCTGCCACGGCCCAGGCTCCCCAGCGCCATGTGGAAGTAGGTGCTGCCGCTGCTCCAGCTGGAGATCTTGGTGAAGGGATAGGTGGTGAGCAGCTCCTGGGGGCAGAAAGTGTGGGTGGGCAGAGTGCCTCCAAACTCATGGGCTGTGCGTGTGTTAGGGGACAGGAGAGAGGCAGGACAGGACACATCACAGAGATGACCACAGCCCCACCTGCACGGGTCCCTGGACCAGGTGGCCCCCAGCCCCTCCGGAGGCCCAGCAGCTACCTTGGTCTTGGGGTGGATGAGCAGAACCCCACGTCGGTTGATGGCGATGAGGATGATGTCGGGGTAGGAGGGCTCTGAGGTTTGCTGAGAGGGAGGGACACGGTGGTCACAGTCCAGCCCGGGAGGCCAGGCTGCACCTCCCAGGAGCTCACCTGGGCCACACGCGCATATACATGCATGTCCACACACTCCAGCCTTGCGGCCAGCCCCAACCAAGATGTGTGTGGGTTGATGCTGGGCCTGCCAGGGCAGTGTTGAGGGCGGCCTCCTTGGGTAGGAGGCCTGGGCGAGGGGCAAGGCCTACCTTCACCTCGAAGAAGGCGGACCCGAAGGTGGGCCACCGGCAGATCCACTTCAGGAAGGCCACCTTGGCCTCCTGCACGGTCTTGTCCTTGTGCTTGTCATAGGCCAGAGGGATGCTCTGGAGAACGGGAGGGCCAGTAAGGGCCTGGGTGCCCAGAGGCCCCCAAAGCCTCGGTGAGGGCAGCACTTGCCTATCCCAGGGCCAGTGCGGGGGGAGAGGGGGAGTGCAGCATGGGACAGAGTCTCAGAGGCACCATGGACAGCATGGGAAGCTGTGGTATACGTGGAGCCAGCCCACCATCCACACCACCCATGTGCACCCACGTGCCCTTGGAGCCCAGGCAGGCCATGGCACTGGGGCAGGGTCCCCGGGAGGGGCAGCAGCCCAAGGACCGTTCCCCAGCCCCGTCAGGGACCTTTTTCCACTCCTCCAAGGACATCAGGCGTGTGAGGTTCTCGGGCACCAGTTCCCTCAGGATCTTGGGGACACTAGCCAGCTGGGACCGGTCATTGTCAAACTGGGCCTTGTAGATGAGGCCTGCCAGGTGGATGGCGTCCTCCCGCGAGCACTTGTGGAACCCACGCAGGTACTTGGGCAGCTCCTGAGTGGTGGACACACTGGGCATGCCAGGTGTCCCGCTGTGGCCCACCCAGCCCGACCTCTTTCTCGCTTAGGTGGTGGGGACCCGGGGCTTAGATCACTCCATCCAGGGCAGACTGAGCAGGGCAGAGTTTCAGGCCGGGGGAATGACCTGAGTCAGGGCAGGGCCCCCGGACATCTGCGTGGGGGTGATGGCCTGCTCCACCCATGTGGTTGGACCTGCGGGCCGAGGCCACTGCTCCATGGGCTGCAGGACCTTCTGCCCCACCCTCCCCAAGTCATGCTGCAGGTGCCAGTGCAGTCACTGTCCCCAAACACTGCTGCCCTCTGCTCCTGCTTCCAGAGGCCTCAGGGGCTTCTTCTGCCTACCACGTGGGTACCCAAGGCCGAGGCTCACCCTGCCCTGGCCTGCTGGCTTCTACAGCCTCAGAAGAGGTGTGGGAGAATGAGGTGGCCCCAATGCCCCCCAGGGCAGCCTGCCTGGTACCTGGTGGTAATGGAGTATGGTGTCCGCGTTCACATCCTTCCCTGGGACTACGTTGAGCCACAATTTCCGCATGAAGTACACCTGGTAGGGGAGTGTCACGGGGGCCCCTGGGCGAGGGCCAGCAGTGGGCACCAAGCGTATCCCGACAGGTGCCGCCAGCCCTGACCCCCTGCCACCCTCACACTGTGCCTGCCACCTGCCTGCCTGGAAAGCCTCCACCCTTCTTCCTCCCCGGCCTCCATCTCTTCCCTAGCCTAGCCTTCAAGACTAGTACAGAGGCTGCCTTCTCCAGGAACATTCCCAGAGTCCCCCAGTGCCCCATGGGGTTCATGCCTCTCAGCCCCGGGCATCCTTCATCACCCAGTGGTCGGCTATGTGCTCCTGCCTGAGCTGGGAGGCCCCAGGGCCTGGTTGTCCCCACAACCCAGAGACACACAGGGGAATGAATGGATGAATGAATTGCCATGGGCCCTGCAGGAGGCCCTGCCCATGGAGGCCGACAGCACCCCCTTGCCCCATCCAGCCACGCCTTCCCCCGGCTCCACAGAGGCCTCCTCACCTTCTTTCTGTGGCTTGTTCTTCTTCACCCAGTCAGACACCTGCCTCAAGGAGTCAAAGAAGAAGTCTCCCTCCTTCTGGCTGATGACCTGGGGCAAGGGAAGGTACAAGGAAGTTGGGTGACTTCCAGGGGACAGTCTTGGTCCAGCACCAGCGCCCTGGCATGCTGAGGGCCCCCAGGCAGCACCGAGGGCCCTGCTCACTGCCCGCCTGCCCGCCCAGCCCCAGCCTAGCCCACCTTGTCTGTGATCTTGATGAAGAGGCTGCAGCCCTCCCAGGAAGCCAGCTGCAGCCTGGTGGCAATGCTGTCACACACATCCCGCACCCGCGTGTTGGCACCCACTTCCAGCATCTGGACAGAGAGGCGCCTGGTGAGGCGTGGGGCTTGGCTAGGGGCCAGCGCAGCCCGGGATGACCCTTCCTAGCCTGGCACTTTTGCTCCTTCATCAGACCTGGGCTGGATGTGGTCTGCCCTGAGCAGGGCAAGCCTCACTTCCAGAACCTTGGCCAGAGGTTCACATTGTTCAGTCCCAGCCTTTGCTGTCCTGGGGCCCTGGAGGCCTGGCCTTTTGACACGCCTTGAGAGCCCAGCAGCCAGACTATGGGAACTTCCTACTACTGGGACTCCACTGTCCCCAAGGCCAAAGAGACCATCCTGCTGTTGGAGAGGGTGTGAGGCGGCACTGCCCACCTCCACCACTCAGCCTGCTTGTATCTGCTCCCCTGGCCAAGGCCTCTGTGTCACGGCTGGGTCCTGGTGGCCTCCCACCCGTCCCCTGTCTCCTTTGTTCCTCCAGCAGCCATGGCAGGCTCTGTGCGCAAGGCACACCCAGTGGGGATACCTGCTCCCCTGCACCCCAGCTGGTCAGAAACCCCTAAAGGCCCCCAAGTCCAGGGACTTGCCCTTGCTGCCCACCCCTCTGTCCTCTCTCCTGTGTCCTAGGCCTGGATCCTCCAACTCATGCCTTGAGACCGGCCCGACTTCCAAAGCGCCCAAGGGCAGGCAGAGCCTGCGTTCCATGGTGAGGGGACAGGAGACTGCTGAAGATGGGACAGCCCTAGAAAAGGCCCTCCAAGGGTGACCAAGAGCAGGCTGGGCCAGTAGGGACGGTGCCCCATGGCCTCCGGAGGTCTAACACTTGCCGGGGAGACCAGGGCAGGGGCTCACCTCGCTGGTGTCATTGGGGAAGAAGATCTTGTGGCAGATGCGGGAGACGCTCTGCTCCGCTGCCTCCACCTCCACCTGGTGTGGGGGCTGCTTCCGAGGCCCTG